CGACTACTTTGACTATCGTTTTCGAAACTGACGTTTCTACAAACTTAGTCAAAGTGGGGGCTTCTGTAGATACCTAAAAATGTCTCCCAAAAACCAAACCCGATGATGAACAACCTTTCACCGCCATTATTGGTCGGGTTGAGTATTTAATCTTGGAGTGATTAAATCCATATTTCCATTTCATAAACCAATACAATTCCTAGCCCATTTCCCCAAACCACAACTTATTTTCCTCTTTTCGTGCCTTTAATCCCAAAATAATTCATTTTGTGTCCTTTATATAAAAACGTTTATTCCAGTTTATTTTGGTCCATAATATGTGTCCATTGATTGAATAGTTGGATGGGGCTTTAAAAGAGCTTTCCAACGATATATTATAAGCCCAAATACGAGTTATGACGAATAAGTTATGGCCAAAATATTAAACTGTGCCCAAACCGAACCTAAGCCCACCTTACCTACGACCCAATGATCATGTGGAGGGTCCAAATTATTTAATCCCATTCCTAAAACAATTAGAATTAATTAGAATCTTCTATAAGTTTCTAAAAGATCTTAATTATCCGTTTTGAAAAGATAAGATTAAAGAGTTTGAAATTGAATAAAACTTTTCTTTTTAAAAATCCTATTTCTATTAGAATTGAAAGACGTTCAAAGATAGACAGATACTATTTTCTTGCCTCATAGTTTTTATCCAACTTTTATATGGTTGGATAGCCCTTGAAATTATCTTTCCAATGATATATTATAATATCAATTCCAAGCTATAACGAAAAAGATATGAATAAAATGTCAAACTCTATCCAAAACTGATACCGTCTCACTATGTCGGCTATATCTTTTATTCTATAAAATATTTTAACCTTATTCTAATTGGGTTAGAAAGTAGACTTCAAGATCGTTTCAACGATATCTTATTCATCTTATACTGATTTCTGGATCAAAAGATATGATAAAAACAAAAACCACAAAAACTGCAGTCTATCGAGTTTTATTCCGATTTAATTCAGATCTTATCTTAATTCTTCGACCCCTATTTTTTCTCTATAAATAGAGGTCATATCACCCCTTTTTCAATCATCAACAAGCTTGATCATAAAATAATTCTCTTCTCCCTCTTTAGCCTAAACACTAGCCTCCCTATTCTTTCATAATATATATTTCCCCTAAGCGCTCCAAGGAGTCCATACAATACCCGAAGTTCTATACTTAAAACAAGGCGTGAAATGTATAATTAACTGAAGGTTTGGACCAAATAAAATCTACATTTATTTAATTTAATTTCCATTTTATTTATATTTTTATTGAAGTTACTAACAGTTTATTCATGATGTAGCAATTCAAGGAAACGCGGAAAGTGAGTAATTAATCACTTAATTACTCTTATTTTTATTCTTATTGCTAGCATCATGATTAGGTTATTATTATTATTTGATTTGACTAACGCTATTATTGTTAAATTGCTTCCAATACTAATGTTTATTCTATTGTTATAATGATCACTATATTGCATGTTTAAAGGGAATATGTAATTGAAAATCACGCCTAATAAGATAATTTGGACAACCGGTTTAGGTTCCTTTTTAATCTTTTTATTTAATCAAGTGATCACTAATATTGTAGTATTATGTGTTGCATTAATATTTAACCAATTTAGCTTAATAATAGATTGGAGCAAATTGAATTTTTGTTTGCATGCCTTTGAGATCGCAGGAATCATTTTTCACTATAAGAATCGAGTAGAGGCCAATACGGGCGAATGTGACTCCATGACTCGCTTCTATCATTCCCGATCCTCCTTTCGTGGTTCCGAACCATATGGAGTTAGTAATCTCATGGATTATGAATGGGGTGTAACCTTCACAGGTCAATCGTTGTTGCCTATCATTGTCCCTTATTCGTGGTTGTCTTTTATGATCCGTGAACGGTTTACAAGTTCCTTAAAAACTTGTTGGCGGCTCCCTACTTTATTTGTCCCTAATCGTTGTCCCTAATCGTAATGTCAATTCCCACTTCCTATGAGTGCCAAGCATATTCACCACATGCTTTAACGTAGGCTCACTTCAAACGACGCCTACAACCCAAAGTTCACGAACAATACGACAATCAAATAGCGCATGTTGGAAGGTTTCTGGACAACCTCTACACCAAGGACAATAACCAATTTTGGTCATATGCCTATATTTGAGATAGGCTCGTACAGGGAGTGTACTAGAGCAGATACGCCACAAAAAGTGGCAAACCTTTGGGGTTACATCCATTTTCCAAATGTTCATCCAGGCTTTACGGAAAAAGATCAAGATTATGGAGTGGTGATGAACCTACTCTTTCTATTGTCGACCCAAGGGTCGAGCCATATATTCACCAACGACCCATTCCCTATTCTCCATAATAGCCCCTCCTTGAAAAGAGCTTTGGAGGACCATATGCTATGCCAAGAAAAGCTACCTCCGAAATTCAAGTTGGCTTCCAGAAATCTCTTGCCCCTGTAGTAATTTGTAGACATTACTTTGTTCAAAAGAGAGTTCGGGTTGCTAGTGAGCTTCCAAGTTTGGTTAAGAATAGAGGAAGTAAATTCCCATATGAATTTTGACTTACCAAGAAAGGTAAGGTAAATAAATTCCCATGTTTCGTGACACAAATAAAAGTGAAAATGAAATCAATGAAAATTCATGGGAATTTGGAATGCCCATAAAATATTAAGCCAACCAAACATTTTATTTGTGCTTGTTTTTATTTTTATATTATCTTTTTGAAAGAAATGTTTGTTTTTATTTGTGCCTCTTACTATAATTTTTTTTATATCTCTAACTCTCAAAAAAAAATATTTTTAAATAGTACTCCCTCTGTTACATAATGTTAGGCCATGTTCTCATACGTTTATTTTCAATTCAGTTCAGTTCAATTTATGTCTAATGATATTGCTAATGATATAATGCTAATTTCATTCTTTTAAGCTCTTATTACAACAACAACAACAACAACAACAACAACAACAACAACAACAACAACAACAACAACAACAACAACAACAATAATAATAAATAACATTTAATAATAATAATAATATTTAATAATAATAATAATAATAATATTTAATAATAACATTTAATAATTATAATAATATTTAATAATAATAATAATAATTAATAAAATGTAATAATAATAATAATAATATTTAATAATAATAATAATAATAATAATATTTTTTAATAATAATAATAAGGAAAAATTGAAAATAATAATCCCACCTTTGGCATATCTTCTCAAAATAATCCCACCTTTGCGTATTCTGGAAATAATCCCACCTTTATACCCCATATTCTCAAAATGAGCCTTTTACCTGTTAGTGAAATTGGTAACCGGTTTTGAAGGTATTGTGCCACGTGTTGTCTTCTAATTGGTTGTTTGTATTTATTTATTTTTTTAAAAATTAAGGGAATAATGAAAAAAAAAAACCTTCTTCTTCCTTGCTTTGCGGCCCTGCCAGAGCCACCCCTCCCTCATAAGATCGGATGCCCGCCGGAACAGCCAGAAGCCGACCAACCAGACCTAACCGCAGGATTCCCTCCCACCTAATTCATCACCACCACCACATCCCGCTCTTTCCCGCAAAGTACCGGTGGAGGTCGGTTTTAAGGCAAGTCTAGTGCGGTTGTGTTTCGATCTAGTTGGGTGGGTTTTGGTCTAGTGGGACAGGTTTCGGTCCGATGTGACGGGTTTCCGAGTGGGCTAATGTTCGAGCTAATTGGGTGGGTTTCGGTCTAGTGGTGGTTATGGATTGATGGCGGTGGTGGTGGTTATGGATGGATGGTGGTGGTGGTCATGGTGGGGAAACCATTAAAGGGGATGAGGAGGAGATGGGAAAGTAGGAGGAGAGAGATAAAGAAATTAAAATTAAATTAAAACTTAAAAAAATTTGACCTGTTAAACAGGTTGTAAGTAAAAAGGATCATTTTAAGCAGATGCAAGATAAAGGTGGGATTATTTCCAAAATTCGCAAAGGTGGGATTATTTTGAGAAGATGTGCTAAAGGTGGGATTATTCTTTTCAATTTTTCCTAATAATAATAGTATACTTGTAATACACATATGTATAATAATAAATAATCAAAGATCACCAATCCTTAGTTAAAAATCACTAATAATAAGTTCAGTTCAGTTCGGTTCAATTAGCTTAGTTCGGTTCAGTTCACCTGAGTTCAGTCAATGAGAACTGACCCTTAGTCCCATATACAATCAATCACATAAAATAAGAAAAGAATACTATTTTGAAATCTAACATTAAAGTACAAAATAATTCATAATTAGTTTACCTTAATTAAGTTTTTTGATTTTTTTTTTTTTTTGGAAAAGCATAACTCATAATGCATAATTCAAGGTAAAAAATTCCTTACTTAAAGTCATATCATCAATTCAAAACCAATTAATTCCAAAATGTAACTTATTCAATATGGATATATCTTTCTAAAACGCCTAAAAATAGTATATGGAACTAACATTATGAAATGGAGGGAGTAAATAATACTACCTCCGTTTTTTATTAGTTGACACGTTTTGACTTTAACACTATTTATACGCCTCCCTTTAACCATGTTTTGTGATTTATATGTAAGGAAAAATATAGTCAAGTGGGATCTTGTTAGATTCGTCACAATATATATTTTCATAATATCAACTTTTTATAATTTTTTCAAATCGGTAATTAAAGATAGTAATGATTTAATTTATGCATTAGCAAATGTGACTAAAGAAACGTGTCAACTAAAAGCAAATAGAGGAAAGTATCAAAATTTTAAGCAAAACTGAATTTTTTCTAGCATGAAAGTTATTCTTTTTTCTCCTGGTCTTCGGTCTATCAATTGACTTCTTTGAAAAAAAAACGGATAGTCAATAAAACTGCCAAGCCACAAATTGACCAAACTACGCAAGCAATGACTTCACTCTTATTCCACAAACCGCTATAAATATACATTGGTTTTCCACATAAATTCTAAGAATCAAAAAAATAATGGCGAGTGAAGAAATAGTGCTTCTTGATGTCTGGGCCAGCCCATATGCAATGAGAGTGAGAGTTGCATTAGTAGAGAAGGGAGTTAAGTATGTTTGTCAACCACAAAATTTGGTTGATAAAAGTTCTTTGCTTCTTGAGATGAATCCGATTCATAAGAAAGTTCCGGTTTTGATCCATAATGGTAAACCCATTTGTGAATCACTCGTGATTGTTGAGTACATTGATGAGGTTTGGCCTGAATCGTCTCCTTTGCTTCCAATTGATCCTTACCAACGATCACAGGCTAGATTTTGGGGTGATTTCATTGACAAGAAGGTAACACTACTTTCTCACTTTTATTTTGTTCTCTTATTTGAAATGGAGGGGCCGAATAATTATATGCATTTGTAAATTGATAGCAATATTGGTTGATTGTAGATATTTGTTGGTGCCAAAGAATTAAGAATGGCAGAAGGACAAGAAAAGGAGAATAAAGCAAAGGATTTCCTTGAGAATCTGAAGATATTAGAAGGAGTGATTGGTAATGAGAAGTTTTTTGGGGGTGATACATTTGGTTACGTTGATGTTGCACTAGTTCCAATCACAAGCTGGTATGACGTCTTAGAAACATGTGGGAATTTTAGCATTGAGGTTAATTGTCCCAAAATTATGGCATGGACTCGAAGATGTAAAGAGAGACACAGTGTCTCTAGTTCACTGCCCGACCCTAACAAAGTTTATAGCTTCGCTCTGGAAACCAAAAAGGCGATAGGGCTTAAGTGAACCCTGACCTTGGTAAAGTAAACCTCACTTCCAAATATTCGGGTCATTCAAGTCTGGTCATTCGGGTCGGGTCAAGTTCGGGTTGGGTAGTCTTCGAGTCAATTTCAAGTTGGGTCAAGTTCAGGTCATTGGGTCAGTTCAAGTCAGGTCAGCTTCAGGTCTAATTGTCGGTTCAAGTTTAGATCAGGTCAGTTTGAGTCTAGAATTTAAGTCAGTTCGAATCTAGAATTTAGCATCACATGTTTGATGCTGAGAATTTCGAGGGTGGGGTATTGTAGTATGATTTTTAAAGAATATTAATTTGTTTGCTATCTTTGCCTGTTAGAATTTGTATTGCATTTCGGTATTGAATATTGGATCTTATTTATTGTCCAAAGAACTTTTACTCTGTATTACATCTGGCATTGAATATTGGAACTTGTTTGCTATCCAAAACTTCTTGTGGAATATACTTGAAGACTCCATGGCAGGATCAGAGTTTTTTTTTTTTTTTTTTTTTTTTTTTTTTTTTTTTTTTTTTTTTTTTTTTTTTGGTAATGCCAAACAACACAATATTATGGATTAATGAAATTAAAGGAAGACTTTAATATAAATTAGAAAAAATTGTCAAAAATAATATAAACTTTTATCCGTCCGCTTAAAACAAGTCAAGCTTTAGATTTATTCTGAATAATACAAACTTTTAGGGGCCATGTATCTGCTTCAAACGAGTTATGATCGGTTAGTGACTTGATCTATAGGTATATAAAACATGTGTCATTGTTTAGTTGGTTTTACAAATTAATTTGATTTTTAAAAATTAATTGAATTTTTTATTTTTAAAAATATAAAATTTTATTATAATTATTACTACCTCCGTTTTTAAATACTTGCTCCAATTCTCCATACGCGAATTAGAGAAAGTAATTAAATATGGAGGTAGTGGGCTAGGTAGAAGAATAAAAAATTATAACAAGCAAAAATAGTGGAGAAATTGAAGGTGAGAGAATATAAAATTAATTAAATGTTAGTTTAGTTCCCGTAATCTTCAGTGTTATTATCAATTTATAACTATTTTAATCAACGAATTTTTTTTTTTAAAAAAATTTAAATTAAACTACCAAAACATTTACTAAAATGAAACATAGTCATGAAACAACCGATTAGCTAAATACGTACTTTAAAATTAAGCATTTGAGCATATGGTTATTTTATGTATTTCGGTGTGGTATTGTTAAAGTGTTATTTTTCTTGTTCAAAAAATGAAAATTTTAAAGTTATGTACTAACCTTGCAAATAAATTTTCTTTGTACACACTATTAAAATCACTCTATTATTTCAATCAAAACTGTGCAACCTAAAATAATATTATTACATATCATTTCGACAACATATATTTCGTATTCAACTTTTCTCATGATATGAACCCTAATTAGATAACCATATGTTTTAAATTATATCTTGGTAACATTTTATATATTAATTAATAGTTATCAATTAATAAATTATATAGTTATTGATTGATGTTCTTACGTAAATATTGGTCATCAAGCTGATTTACTTAACAAAAATAAGTAATAAAAATCGAGGGCTACCCAGTTCATTCCCTAGATTAACGAATTTCGTTTATTTGGGGATATTTTGGTCTTTTCAAGTGACATTATTGTAAGGGTACATGCGTCATTTGCCATGGATGGCCAACTAACTACTGTTGCAGCAATAATTGAAGCTATGGGCAAGGGTCTAACGGAGCAATTGCAAGTTGTTTTGAGCTGTTAAAATACTTGAACTAAGGGGCATGCTTTTCCCACTTATTTATAATTCATGCCATCAGATAAACGAATTTCGCAAATCTGGGGCATGAACTTGTTTTTGCCTATAAAAAACTTATGTTGAAAATCTACTACGTATATGATATTTTTCCTAAAGAAGTTATTGTATCTATGTACTATACTAAAACATGGTACACTAGCTTCAAAACTGACACGTGTCCCTGTTTTAGTTTAGTTTTTTATTTAATTTTATTTAATTGTTTAATAATTATTACGGTGTATATTTGTCAAAAATTGTAATACCCTAAACTTTTCTACTTTAAATTTCGAGGACGAAACTTGTTTTAAGAAGGGTGGATTGTAATACCCAAATATTTTATGATTTTATATATTATATTTTATATAAAAAAAAATAGTTATTTTTATTTATTAAATAACTTTCCTAATCTCATATTTTTATTTTAGAGTTCGGAAAGGTTTAAAACTCTATTTTAATCTAAATATGACTCTTTATTTTTAAGCGTATATAAACTATCTTTATTTTTAAGCGTATATAAACTATTTTAATTAAATGCATTCTGCTGTTGTCAAAAAAAATAAAAAATAAAAAATTGTGCAGCTGTAAGTTTTGATATTAAAATCCTTCTCTTCACCTTCTGTTCGTGGGTTTATAGCAGCCCCATATGTTCAATTAATACTTATAATCTCCTTGATAAAATTTGAGCAATCACTAATTACTTTCTCCCAACTTGCAATTCATGTGCGTGAATTGCTGAATGTGAAGGTGGAGTGTCTTGCCTAATTATGCCTAATTTTTGCCTAAGGTAATCACACAAAACTTTTTTGGAGATGTTTGTGATATACTTTTGTATAATTATGTGCAAATATTATAATTTGTTGTTATTCGTATGATGATCATGTTTTAAGTATATATTGGTTAATATGTCTTGAAATATAAGTTAATTGTTGTATTATTCTGGTGTATGATTGATTATATTGATTATGTTATTATTTTAAGATTTTTTTTTAATGTTGTTGCTCTAAGGAGTATTGTTCTTGAGGTTTTAGGGTTACTAGTATAATCTTGGGTTGAGAATTGATTAAATTTGGGCATTAGTATTATTGCCCTAAAAGAGTTGAGATATTTTGTGAATGGAGTATGTTGTGTTATGTTATTTGGGAACATGTGTCATTGTTGAGATTGTTTATGAATTATTATTTGATCGAAGTATGAGATCAAAAGGTTGAGATTATTATTTTGTTATTGGTTTGAAGCTCGGCGTTATAGACCTTAGTCCTTGGCATATTGGTAATGCATGAGATAATGATCATGAGTTAGGAATGAGGTACAATCTTTATTATTTATTTTTCTATGGTCCCCTACAGTGGGAATTGACCCGTATGTGGTCTAGTTCAAGTTGTTTTTCTGGTTTTTGAGAGTATTCAAGTTTTTCTTCTTGTTGGTTTGTTATTCGAATTACCCATGTCCAAGGCTAGGTATAGAACGAGCATGGCACACTTATGGGTTATATGAGTTGATTGAGTAAAGGTTCGTATTATTATTCGAGGTTGAGTTGATAAAGGTTATTTTTCAGAGTGCAATGTGTAATGTAGTTCTAAACTACATTGTTTAAGTGAGCTAATAATATTAATTATTATATTATTCTTTGTATTCTGATATGTGGTGATTACTCAGCTTTTTTGTTGACCTGTCACTAGTAGAAAAACAGTAAAGGGCACCCCTATATTGCCACCGGTTCAAGGCAAACGGGTGGCAAAAAGGCTAAGATTGAAGCAGTTGTTAACCGGGCTAGACATATGGCACCGGTTCAGTTTTGAACCGGTGCCAAAAGATGTTTAAAAAAAACAGGTTCATCACATAACCCTAAATAGCTGATTATCACTCCGCCTCTTTCATTCCCTCTGATTTCCTTCTCTCTCCTCTCTCTCTTCTCTCTCCTCCTCTCCCTTCTCTCTCCTCTCATCTCCCTTATTGATCTTCATCTCCCATATTCGATCTCCTCTCTCTCTTTGATCTTCTTTCATCTCCTCTCCCTAGCTTCTTCGATCTCCTCTCTTTCTTGGATCTTCACCACCACAAATTCGACCACCGCCACAAAGCCCACCACCACCACATCACCACTACCGCAAAGCCGCCGCCACCACCACCACAAAGGTCGACCACCGCCGCAAAGCCCACCAACATCAACATCAACAACAATTTTTGGGTGTAATCCTTCGAGGTTAGGGTTTATTTTATGGTTTTAATTCGATGTTAATCGAGTTTGTTGGATTTAAATTTGGGTTTGATTTTGGATTTAAATTGATTTTTTTTGGGTTTATTTAATTGATTATTGGATTTTAATTCGAGTTTTGTCAATTTTTCTGGTTATAATTATCCGAATTTATTCGGGTTTTTATTTTAATTCGATTTTTCTCATTTTTTCTGGGTTTAATTTTGGGTTTAATTATTCGATTTTTCTGGGTACATGCTTGTGTCTTTTGGGGTTTTTTTTTTTTTGAGTTTTCTAGGTGTTTTAAAAAAAGAAAATTCGGGGATTTTGTATTTTTTTTCAATTTTTCTTATAATTTTGAGTTTCTAGGTTTTTTTTTAATTTTTTTTATTTTCAGTTCGTGAGTATTTTTGGGGTTTTTTCTTTTTTTTGGGAAGGGGGGATTTCTGGGTATATTTTCTTGCTTTTAATTTCGTGATTTCTGGGTTTAATTTTCGTAATTTTAGTTTATTGTGAGTTTTTATTAATTTGGTGTTTTAATTGATGTAGGTGAAGAATCAAAGTGTTGATTTTGGAATTTTGATTTCAATGTTGTAATTTTTTTTTTTCGTTTGATGTGTAATTTTTTTTCTTCGATGTTGTAATTTTTTTTTTGGATTTTGATGTTGTAATTTATTTTATTTTTTTGTATTGTAAAATAACAAATTAATCATCAATATATTTCTGATTATATTTCATATTCAAGCTTGTTATATGTTTCTGATTATATTTTGATCAATATATCTCTGATTGTATGTGTGGATAAAGCAAACTAAAAAAAAAAACATGAATTAGCACCGGTTAACCGGTGCCAATTGACTTTAATTCCCAACAAATAAAAAAAGAAATAGTTATGGCACCGGTTTGAACCGATGGAAAAAGGGGGGTTATTGGCACCCCACATTGACACCGGTTCAAACCGGTGCCTTAGGGCGGGTTTGAACCAGTGCCATTTGTTATTTTTCTTCTAGTGTGTGTATTGTTTTGTTTTGCTACTTGTGTTTGCGGCTATGTCTTTTTCTTATGGTGGCTCTGCGACGATCTATTTTGAAATTTGTCCTTAATGGTGAGCAGTCAAGTTTGTCTAAACAGGTTGATCAAGTGGTCGTAGCTAAAGGAGCTCAAGTGTTTCGATTAGTTTGTTATAACGAGTCTGTAAAGTTGTATAAATAGCTCACTTATTTTATTGGGATTTTGTAAGCTTTAACACTTGACAGGTTGTCGAGTGTGGCGATAATACATCTGATTTAGGTGTATGCTTCCGCAATTTTATTCAAAGGTTGTTTATTTTTCGTTTAATTCTTGGTTATTATTAGTTACTAAATCAGGGGTGTTACAAAAATCATGTTCATATATATTATTGCATATTTACATAGGAATATTTTAGTTAAGTACTTACTTTTACGAATGAAGTGCTATATAATCTTTGTCAAATATAAATATGTTTAAAATTTTGACAAATAATATAAACAAAATCTTTAACAATTAAAATCATATATATCAATTTTATTTATACAACTTTAATAAAATATCTTCCATAAGCTCTGTATATTACATTTTATGGGGTATTTACACTTGATATATACATATATATTTTTACTTAGTTTAATTTATTATTTTTTTTAGTTAACTTAATTTTTATAAACTTTCTTATATGTATTATACTATT